ATTAGTCGATCGTTCACTCGTTATAAATTAAATGTGGAAATAATAATGTGCAAAAAATCAGTTGAATGCTTGCAATTTATTAATAAAAAGTGCATATCGTCTTTGTAGTAATTTATGTGAAATCTTATGAGTCAAAAGGTTCGTTTGCGCGCGCATTCGTCGAGTGTAATGTTTTTTTTTATATTGTTGTTTGGTTTTATATAAATAATCGCTATAATCTATATATATATTTTATAATATATAATTTTGAAGTACATGGGGATTTCTTATTTTGTTGTTCTTGTTTAAATACAAATTCATTATATTATCTGGACAGACTGCTATTAATTAGAGATTTAACAAAGAACAAAAAAATAAAACATCATGAGAAGAGAAACGATAACTAAAATGATAACATTTCATTTCTTTGTTTTAAATAGAGCGAACATAGTCCCGTCTCTCGGATCACTTTGATTCTGTCATTATATGTGTATTTTGATCGTTACAATTATATCTCATTGATAATTCGATAATTGTATTTTTAGTTTAATACATAACTTATTTTTTAACAATATTCTTCATCTTCTGTGGCTTTTTTTCGATCTATTTATTTTCTAAAAATATATTTGAACATATTTTTTGGTACATTGCACAATACAACAAATTCACCATTTTTTTTCAGTTTTATTTTTCACAAAAAAAAACTTTTTTTTTCTCGTGTCTATGTGTATGTGTGTGACAATGGTCAAGTCAAAGAACGGCTTGTCTGGTTATGTGCTGAAGCCAAAACATCGTTGGTTTGGTATCAACACATCCAAATGGTGTTTATGTGTGTTTGTTTTAGAGCCTCAATTGTTTTAATGGTTTCTCGAAACATTTCGCGAAACAATTGCATGCGTCCTCTGACGCATTTGCGCAATTATTTGAGATAATTTTCCTAGTCTTACTTATGCATATCTTCTTTTTTTGGTTTAAATTTCATTTTAATCACGTGAATATTTCTCACGTTCCTATCGAAAATCAAAGCCTTTGTTATATTTGATTATTTCTTCTCTTCATTTTACGAAATGTTTCTCAGAATCTTAGTAAATTGGACAAAAAAGGATTATTTTCAAAAAAAAAAACTTCAAATTCTCGTATATTTATACTGTATATGTATGTGTCTGCGAATTAAATTCATTTGCGGTTCTTACACTTCAGTTTCTTTCATTGGTTCTGGCTGCAATTATTAAGGTTTGGTTTTCATGGTTTATCCAAAACGGAAATATTTAATTGATTTTCAAAAGATCAAGATACAATTTAATCATTGCCGAGAGATTGTTTGGTTTTTTATTTTTTGTTTTGTATTGAAATTGCGGAGATTTTGTTTTGTAGTTTTTATATGAAAATTAAGAAAATAAAAAAAATATATCAATTAACTTACAAAATCATTTGATATTTGTTGTTTTGTTTGTTTGTTTGTTCAAAAAAATGTGATTTGTTTTTTTTTTTTTGGTATTGTGTGTCGAAATGCAAGATATTTTATTTTATAAAACATTTTCATGAGTTGATAAAATTAGCTTCTATATAAAAAATTATGTTTGATATAACAAAAAAAGGGAGAAAGAATTTGAAACAAAAGCATAAAATCGACTGGGGGTTATAATATGATGCTTGAATGGTGTGAGAAGATGTCAATACATTCTGCTTTTAAATTAACCAGACATGGAGAAGAGAATTGCCACTTTTGCCAGTTCCGTTTCTATTTTTGTTTTCATCTTTGTTTTTCTTTATGTCGTTGTTCATCGATCCCCGATTCTCCTGGCGACCGACGATTGAAAACAAAAACCAACCAAAATGGAATTCATTTCATCGACATATTCCGAGAAACAATATGATTTCTAATCAAGAGCATGAGAATAATCTCACTCTCTCGCTCAGTTTTAGATGAGTGTGTGTGTGTGTAACTGTATGTGTGAATTGTGTTTTGTTTTGTTTTCCACATTGATCTGTGTGTATGTGCCTTTTGAAAATAGCGAAAGTGAGGCACCTTCGATGGTTCTATGTTAATGTTTTTAACATGAAAACTGCAATTTGAAACCTTTTATGTTTATTTCTGTCCTTCACTGATTACGGTCTATATGAACCACGCGACTCAATGTAAACTCTACTGAAACTCTGTTAATTAGAACATTTGCCTTGATGTATACGACGCTTATGTGTGGCTGACGAACATAATGTTCGACAAACATATATATGTATATATATATATATAAATGCCAAAAGCCATATGACGCTTTTGGTATTTCTTTTGTAGGTCATTGCGATGAAATTTTTGTACATTTTTCGTCAACCATTATTCAATACATTTCTTTCTCTACCAGATGAATTACATATCATATATCAAAGCACAGATTCAGAATACTGTTATGTAATGTATAATGGAGTAGCTTCGGTGCGTGAATTTTGATTGCTTTTAAGTTTTAAAACAAAAAAAAAAACGATGAGGAAATAAAACATTATCTAGTTTAATTTGGCTTTTTCCGATTTTCCGGAAAGTATGGACGCGAAATACCACTTTTCGGTGGTGATTCCATTTCAATTTTATTTTGCAGTTAGAAAATGGCACTATAAAATCAGAAGCAATTTTCACACACGAGCCCACCTCTCTAATCTTTAGTTTTTGGCTACATTTTTTGTTGTGCACTGCAAGCGAGAAAAAAAGGAACATAATCGAAGTAAGCGAAATGTGAAATACCCAATTCACACATGCTAACTCAATGTGTGGCAGCAACTGATGATCTCATGACAGCTTTTTAGCTTTTTTGATAGTAGAAAAACGCACACATAACCGAAAAAATATATCTAAAAATTGGAAGATCGACGACAAAATGAATTTCTTGCGATTTCCATCTTTTTTTTACAAAAACGATATTCAGCAGTTGACATTTAAAAGAAAAATCTTTGTTTTGTGCGTTAGCTGTCAAATTAAATTAGAAATTGACTATTTTCCCAGCGAATTTGTTCACTTTTTTTCTATATCAATCGAACTTTATTTAAAAAAATTGAGAACGTGTTCGCAATGTAGCAAAAAGTGAGAACAAATCGTGACTATCGTATAAATATGTGTGTTAATGTTCACTTTTTGGTGTAAACACGACTGATTAAACGACTTTTATTTATGTATGATATATAATAATTGTTTTAATTGAAATCGCGCGCCATATGATTTGGTGATAAAAAAATTTACTTGGTTTTGATCTAAAACGAAATCATATCGAAATGATATTTCGGCGACGGAAGACTTTGGTGTTACGGAAAACTATGAGACGTATATCACACAGAATATGGTATATACGGTTTTATTTGTAAATGTATAATGGTGCATAGAATCCAATTCGAACGTGTTTTGAGTTTCACTCGGACCAGCAATTTAATTACAATTACGGAACGAAATTGCATGCGAACATTATGCGAGCTGTGACATTTGATAATATTTTCGACACATTTTTGAGCTTAACGGTTGCATTTTTATCGTCGTCACATTGCAAAATACCGAGCATCGTATTGGCATAGATCAAAACTAGCCGATGGCAATGTTGATGATGATGATGATGATGAACCGAAATGATTTTAAACACGATACAGTACAAAAATGTTTTTTTTTTATCAAAATGTCAGGGCACTTCGCATATGAGTAATTTGACGCAAAATGGCTTGTAATATATATTCATTCAGCGACCATTCCATTGTCCTACGGTCCCAAGTAAATACCCATCACGTTATCATTTTTACATAGCTCAAGTGTAAATTATAAAAACAAATCATATTTATTTATATATATTTATCTATATATATATATATATATATTTGAAAATGAAAATATCGAGTTTATAGATATCGTGCAAAATTATACTGATCTACACAGTCGATCTGTAGTTTTTGGTGTATTTTCTTTCTTATTCATTTGGATTATAGTGTTTCTTGAATCTATTCAGTTGACAGAGAAGTTTATCCAAATCATTCAAACCCTATGTAAATCGACTAAGGATTTGTTTTGAACTTCTTTTGTAATTTGAATGGAATGAAACTGTTTCGAATGCAAAACATTTACAATAAATAGATTGCATATTGTGAGCGGAAAATCGACATCAATGTGAAATATTTTAGATAAAACTTGCTGCATACCGAACGAATTTTGATTTTAAACCAAGTAACGATTTGAAACGTCTGGATACCAAAAACGATGTAAATATAATATATTATAATTTGGTCGTAATGCATATATGACGATAAGTTACAGTTCAACAGTGTTTTTCAATATAAATTTGCACTCTTTAGAGCGTCTGTGTGTGTGTGTGTTTCATTTTAAAAAAAATATCTAATTTATTATGTTTGTGGTGGCATTTTTTAGTGAGAGAAAGAGGAGAGATAGATAGATATTATAGCAGATTCAGAGATAAAAAGAGTTGTCTTTTTTTTTAAATTCATAATGAAAAAGTTGGTGTAGTTATTTATAAGACGACAAAATTAAAAAAAAATCTATATCGTGCACTCTTTTACAAATGATTCAGAAAACATGAATTAAAATCACGTAAAAAAAGCAATTCACGAGTCGAAGAGCATCCGTTGTTAATTGAATGTCATGAAGGTATGTGTACTATGTTTTAGAAAAATCATAGTTTTATTTTTTATGTTCAAATAAATAACGGAAATTATTCGATCTTTCAGACTTTGTGCCATCGAAAATGTTTCTTAATTTGCAATCCGTAGTAAATCCATTGCAATTGAACATCATTATTGTAGAAGAGCACTCGACATAGTGAAAAGCTTTTGGAAAGAGTTTTTTTTAGAGAAAGATAAAATGTCACTGTTTGTCCCTATTAAATTTGTATATATATATATATATATATCGTTTTTTTTGTTTCTTTAAAATTCAATGAAGTTAAAACGAAAAAAATAAAGTGAAAAACTATTTGTTGTTTTAAAATTAAAATAAGGTATTGAGACACTAAATACTTGTGATTGCACCGTAAATTTACCTGAGTTTGTAATCTTGTTAAACCTCGAATCCATAAAATTTGTCCGGCTCTTGGTTTCTTATCGGAATCTAATGAGTCGAATCGTTCATCGCCAAGATTACCAATAGCCTCGGTATATTGTTCTGGATGACCTCGGCCCCATCTTCAAATTGAACAACAAACAAACCGAAATAATTAATATAAATTGAAAATGGATGTCAATTCAATTAAATCGTTAATCAAACAAATGTTTTTATAAATTATGATTTGTGATTGTGACTTACGATAAAAGTTTAGGTAGTTTTCTTGTCGGTATTGTAGTTACTAATTGGCCCCATAATAAGGTGCCAACGCCGAAGAACAAACACCATAGCCATTGTTCTAGTGTTAGTTCTTTTGTGGAGAATGCCATTTTTCCGTATTGGATGATTACCACCTAAAATGAAATCACAAACAAACATTATTTGCCATTGATTTGCGGAGGGGGGATGATCATTCAATCGTTTTACCTGTGCAATGCAGGTGAAGATCCAAATCGTGTAGAAAATCGGATTTGTGAATACTCCTTCGAATACATTTCGTTGTCCGTGAATTTTCCTCGCATTAAATTCATTGAACAACGTCATCAATACAAATGAATTGAAAATAATAGTGAAATGTTGTGTCGGTGGTTCACCATGGCCAGATGGAATATCTAAGATCTTGTCACCTATAAAATAAATTAATTGACAATTAGCGAATGCATTAAAAAGTAAATATGACCGATTTATCAATGCCAATAATAGATAAAAACCAGTCACTATTTTAAAATAAACAAATGACGATAATTACCAATGAAAAGCAATGAAAATATGATTCCCAATTGATATAGGGCTTGACCTATAATGTTTTTCATCATTGTGCGTGATATAAGTGGTTTTGTTCGGCCATATGGTTTGCGCAGTAATAGATCGGGTGTTGGTAATTCGGTTGCTAATGCCAAAGACGCAAGAGTGTCCATGATCAAATTAACCCATAACATTTGAACAGCCTTTAATCGTTTCAATTCAAGAAAAAAGAATGAAAAAAGAAAGAAAAAAACCATTTAGATTAGAAACAGTTCATCAGCTGTTGACAAGATGTTGTTTTGGCTCTAAATATGTGATATAACTCACCTTCAATGGTGAGTCTTGTACCGCGCAAGCACCAATAAAAGCAACAATAACTGCAACAACATTAACGGTCAACTGAAATTGCAAGAATTTGGCGATTGAATCGTACACATTACGACCCCACATGACGGCCTTTACAATACTGCTGAAGTTATCATCGGTTAAAATAATATCGGAAGCTTCTTTTGCCACATCAGTGCCGGCAATTCCCATAGCAAAGCCAACGTCGGCTTTTTTCAATGCAGGTCCATCGTTGGTGCCGTCGCCTGTAACTGCAACCACTTCACGATTCTCGCTTATCTTGCTATCAATAATACCTTTGACTAGAGTATATTTATCGGTTGGCGAACTTCGAGCGAGTACACGCAATTTCGGCCATACTTTATCCAGTAAATGTTGTTGAACATCGCCGTTGCTATCGCGAACACGACGGTTAAATTCTTTGCCCTCCAAAATGAGGAAGTCTTCGTTCGGTTTAACAATTCCACATTTTGCCGCAATCGAACGGGCGGTATTGATGTTGTCACCAGTAACCATACGAACAGTGATGCCGGCCTTTTGACAACGACGAATTGCATCGGGTACCTCTGGACGAACAGGATCTTCAATTCCCACCACACACAAACATGTCAAATTGTTCACTATAAATACGAAACGAAACAACAACAAAAACGATTACACACTTTGGTTGCATTTATTTTATTGTGATATTCATGCACAATACTTATCGGCTGCAATCTATTTTTGTCATTTTATTTTGACTATTCTATTTTTAAAATCTTTTGAAATCTATTTTAAATTTGCATCAATGTGAAAAGTGTTACAGAGAGAGAGAGAGAGAGAGAGAGAGAGAGAGACAGAGAAACGATTGTTCTCGCTTACCGATATTCTCTTCATCTTCCCAGTTAGGCTCGTTGTCAATATGTACTTCGTTTATAGCCGCTTTTCCTGGAACAAAATCACGATACGCAACCGAAATGGTACGCAAACCATCGCAAGCCATTGGTTCAATAACTTGATGTAATAATCTTTCTTGCATATCGCGTGTAAATTTCTCTAAAACGCCATCATGACCGTATATAAATGCGCATCTGTATCATTCAATTTAAAATAAGTTAAAACGAGAATAATTGTGAATAAATGAGCGCGATGACTTACTTTTTGAGTACCATTTCTGATGCACCTTTAGTGTAAAGACGATAGCCGCCATCTGGTTTTGGTATGACTGTGCTCATTGACTTTCGAACTGAGTTGAATGTGTAAACTCGAGTGAATTTATCTTCGGTGATTTCGTCACGAATTGATTGATAGCTCATGCCCAAGCCTTGTACGAAGCCCAACAAAGCGCATTCGGTTTTGTTACCGACTTGTGTGAATGGCTCACTGGGATTTGTCTGTGATGTCTACATTTGAATTGTGTAAATAAATCGCATAATTAACAATAATATCAGAAAAACAAAATCAAGACGATATGAATGAATATTATGCATTCAATTTACCATCAAACGAGATGTGTACGCTGAATTCACAGAGATGCCCTGAATCAGCATATTACCAATGTGTGATGGTATGTCAGAAAATTTTGGTACAACTTTGCAAAGCTTTTCACAAATATACGATTGTACAACCGTCATTCGATTTGTAGTTAAGGTTCCAGTTTTGTCAGAGCAAATGGCAGTTGCATTACCCATCGTTTCACAAGCATCCAAGTGACGCACAAGGTTATTATCTTTCATCATTTTCTGCAAAACAAATTAGAAAAAAATTTATCATGTCAGCGGTTTTTTTTATCTCTTTCGTTATCATTGCATTCATTTGTTTGTGGTACAGCAGCGCACAGCCGCCAATTCACAAAGTGGATTGAGAAATTAAGGAAGCTCGAAGGAGGGAGAGACAAAAACAATGAAAATGTGTAACGCGAACATACCTTTACTGAATAAGCTAGCGACAGAGTAACGGCTAAAGGCAATCCTTCGGGTACGGCGACAACCAGAACAGTGACACCAATAATTAAATATTTCACCAGTTGGCTCACATATTTACTGTGCCATTTCTCCTCCTGAATCAAGAATGTTGAAACACAGAACTGAATGACCAGAATGAGGACAGTTAAAACAGCTATCGTTGAACCGGCATAACCAATTTGAATGGCGAGTTTCGTAAGTTTTGCTTGTAACACGGATTTCTCTTTTTTGTGAGCAGATGGTGGTGGAGCTGACTCAGTTCCGGTGCCAGTCGCATTGCCATCCACATGATTTTCGACCGAATCATTGTTCGCTTCTTTGATGTGAGTTGGCGCTGGTGCTGGAACACTTCCGTGGCTGTTACTTGTTATGTTTGTTGGTACTTCACCATCTGCATCATATGTTTTTTTTTTGTTCATTCATTGTTTTTGTTGTTATTTTGGAATGGTCAATCGCGTATTTGGTGAAATTTGTCAGAGTTTTAACAAAAATGAAAATAGAACGAAACAATTGGAAATTAGGTGAGTATTTTTAAACTAACATATAGTAGTGACATATTTCCTTTTTTTTATTTTCTTTCCCCATGTTTAATACTAAACTTATTCATTATTCATCTGTTTTACCAATTATGATGAACTACACACGTCCCATTTTTCATATACTGAGTTATTAAAAAATTTTATCAAACGATTTTATTCATTTTAATTCGAATAAAAATATCGTCGAATCGTAAAAGTTAAATCATAAATTAACACCAAAACTATATTTTCACACCCTTTTCATTGACAATAGGGCAAATTTGTTCCCACAATTTATTGTGTTTATTCATTTTATGCTTTTTCTGTTATATTAAATGAAAAATAGGACGTGTTTTCATCTAAAAAAATAGGGATCAAAACTGCACTCGATTCTATTATAAGAAATTAAAACTAATTCAAATTGAATGTTTTATGACATTTTTATAAAAGAAATACACAACAAAGAAACAAAACTATGAAGAACCAAAAAATGATGAAAGCCAAAGATTAATAGAAACTAAGATTAGTAAAACTTGTACCAAACAAAATGAATAAAATCAAAAGACAACAAATGATCAGTCGGACTAGAAATGTAAATATAATGGATAATAAAAAATGAACTAAATAAAATTTTAGTCCAAAATTGACGAAAAAAAGTTAGATTTAATGGAGAGCAGTTTGACTATTAAATGAAATTAAATTGAATCAAAAGTCAAATAAACATGAAAACAAGATCAACTGTCATCAATTTTCCGTTGCAATCAATGGTTAAATTTAGAATTGTTTTTGCTCATTAGTGGAAAGTCTACATTTGTTTTGTTTTGTTTTTTGTCATTTATTAACACTTTGAGAATATGTTCATGTAGCAAATAGTTGTTATCTAAATAGAAGACTATTTTTTTCGTTAATTTATAAATACTGAAGATAGATGAAAATGCACAGAGAGACAGATAGAGAAATAGGGAGATAAACAAATACACAAAAATTGAGATAATGAATGAAATGTGCTATCTATCTATATATAAGTAAGGACATTGGTTGAGAATAAAAATGGAAAAAGTCAAAACAACGCTTTCATACTTGGATGTCTTTAGAAAATGGTCAAACAGTGTCTTTGGTAAAATGTTAAATTTCACCAAACACAATCTTTTCGTCACAATACGGTACTATTGACATAAGTGCGAAAACACGGTTTCGTCTAATTTCCATTTTTATTCTTAGCGCATTATATATTGTATATTCTATATTGAAAGGAAGAAATTTAGATGAATATAGAAGAGATATATATATATCTATACACTAATTTGAATTGTTTTTTATTCTTGTTCTCATGGATAGTAAAATTGGTGTAAAAAAAGTGTTAAATTGGTTCGAAATAAAATTAAATACAAACAGGTATGATAAACTTTTGTTGTGTGGTTAGAAAAAATGCGAGAACATTGGCTACCAATTAAAATTCTAAATTCCAATGAAACTTTTTGCAATACATGCACTACATTTGAATGCATGGATAATTTTTAAAAAAATCACACTCCACACAAAAAAAAATAAACAAACACATTTTTTTTTAGATTGGGATAAATAAAATCGAGGACAACGATGACGATGAAAACGCTGATCATGTGTTGTGTATGTGTTTTTTTTTCGGTTGCGAAAAAAGGATTATGCAAATTATGAAATAATGTGAAAGATGATAAAACCATGAATAAAACGAATTTCATTGCCCCCTTTCTATCAAAACTAACATTAAAATTATGTGTTTAAGGGTGTGTAAGTGTTTGTATGAATGGAGACTGTGCACACAAAATTCGATTGAATCCTCCATTGTGTATTGTGAAACACTTTTCATAACCGATTTCAATAATAAAACATCCCGATTTTAGCCGCAAACATCTTGTCGACAGTTGAAAACCTTGGTCAAATTGACTTTACATGTGTGTGGTAGTTGTGTTTAATTGATGATAGCAGAAAATACGTTTTCGATCAAAAACCGAAAATAATGCCGTTTATTCTAATAACGGACACACTTACACACTCTCTCTCTCTCTCATACACACACAGAGAGAGAGAGAGAGAGAGAGAGAGAGAGAGAGAGAGAGAGAGAGA